ATCGTAATTATTTCTCTCTATTTGATTAGTTAAATCACTGAATAAAAGATATCAGAGACGGAAGAAATTTATCGGAAAGGCAATTAGAGAAAATTTCAAACAAGTCCAGCAGTAGTGTGGTGTGTGTGCTTCTGATAGATATAATTAGTATATATCATCAATCGAAAGTTAAATACCTGGAGGCAGAATGTTAAGAAGATAGAAGGAAAGAGAACGAGAACACACAATGATTGGTGTGGGAACTAAAGAACAATGAAGTCTGAGATGATTGATTGACATTTTGCAGAAGTAGCAGTCAAGTTTGACACAATTGATTGATATTTTGCAAATGAAGAATTTTCTGTATGGTTCTCAGATTTTACTAATAGTCTTGCAATTTCGTGTTCAAATGCATTCGATTGTCCCCACTTGTTTTCTCGTTCACCACAGTAGTAGCATATTAATTCCTTTAGTTAAGTAGTACGTTTAGCAGCTCCCGAACTATTTTACAAACTAGTAGAGTTGGTGGGAAAAATCCAATTTATTGCGATTCAGTCTCATGAGCAAACCTCTTTACAATACATTCATACATATAATTTAACAAACTCCACTTAAAATATTCGTCTTCACTCTCATAGATCTTTACATTTATGTTCAGTCCATATCTATGTGCATATGAAATAATGCTCTAAAATTTCTTTTATTTGCATGATGAAATGATCTGTGAGTATTGTAGTAGATAATTTTTAATAAAAAATAAAAGATGAAATTAATTTACTCACAAGTTTAGTGTATATCCCTAATCTCATTATGATATTTGTTTGACAATCATCATTAATTTCGATAGTGTGATAAGAAGACGAAGATTATCAAAACTATGTGATGACATAAGCAAACAAACTAGCAGTGGAATTCAGTTTGACGCGCGTTTCGTCCTATTTAAGACTCGTAGGATGGATGTACCTGCATCTCAGAGTTGATGTTCACTCTGGGACTGGAACCCAGTATCTTTCGCTTCAAACGCCATCGCGTTATCCACTCAGCTACTGAGTCCTGATAGTCACTTTCTTGTGCAAAGAGGTGAAGTTTGAATCCACTAAGTATTATTTGTTTGAATCTTCCCATTGATGTTTAGGACTGCAATTGATCAGTCTCTTATTGGCATATATGCATACTGTGCCTTAATGTAGGTACATCCAGCTGACGAGTCCCAAATAGGGCGAAACGTTCGTCCTGGGTTCCACTGCTAGCCACTATCCATCCTTGATTACAAATGGGCTATTTTTTTTAAATCATCACTAAATTCGAAAATCTGTTATATAAACTCATTTATATGTTTAATCAGACTTGTGGATTTTTATTATTACTGTTCAAAAAATTTCATTTTTACTTCCACAAAATCCGGCTATGTATCCTTAGTTCCATATATCTCTCTTTTTTCCCTTAAAATTGTCAACGTTCCAAACTTAAATGTTCTAATCTTTGGAAAGAAACTCTTATGACATCTACATATTGTACATACCATACCAATATGTGAATAATTAATATGAAATATGCCTCCACATTTGCTGTACAAATGAATTCACGTTTATCAGCAGAAAGTTAGATGTTCAGACCAAAGTTAGCATAATGTTTATTTACTATAGTAGTAAACCTTGTTTTCAAAACGTTAAAATAACTACTGTAAAGGCAAGAATCTATCTTCTTAAGCACTTTATTGAATTGGTTTACTCTCATTCTTAACTTTAAATAGATTTTGAATATTATATATATTATATATTATGAATATTATTATTATTGGGTGACTTTGAAACGTTATTACTGTCAAGGTAGTATTTAACCAATTGGTTGATCATTTGATTGAAGTTGATGAATTTATTGTCATATAGAAGAAAACTAGCCAATATCAATCAAATGATTAAAACACTCACGTACAAGTGATAACTATTTGGATGGATATAAAAATGATCAAATTACTTTTTAGATTCATGACAGCAGTTATATTAGAGGTTCGTCTGAGTCCATCACTGATACATACTCTTTGTATATGCATGCCCAGTCAGGTGATTGAGTAGGAATAGTAAGCATTTATCGGCTAACCCAATCAAAAATATGTACACAAACCCATTCATAAATATACACGCATCTGTCAGACAGTTAGGCCGGATCTCTAACCAATAATGTATATTTATCCCCTTCAAAAAAAATCAACCGAAATCTTGTGTTATCATTTAATCATAAATTGATTGGCCTGTTCTATCATTATTCATCACAGACTGATCTCAAATAGACTGCCATTGAAAACCAGAGAGAACTATATAAATGTGTTGTCCAAACATGAAGTTTCTCAGTGTTGCATAGTCATGACCTCACCAGAAACCGAACCCAGGACTTTCAGGTCTCGCAGCAAACGCTTAAAATTTAAAATAACTGGTTCGATGTCCAGAAGTACAACTTCAACCTCAATCAACGTGAGATATAATGTGACGATCATTCGGTATCCCAACATACAAATTTGTCCTTATGAGTATAGATTGCTCGTCTTCTAAAGCCTGTGTAAGAGAGCCCAAACAGATTTCTAAATCCCCATATCGGTTAGGGTAAGGTATTCAAGGTTAGGATTTTTATCACGAACTAACATTAGCCATCATGTAAAAATTCTCTGTCACCACTGGGATGAATGAATTTCAAGGAAAAGTACAAGAGGTATTTTCTGAAATATAGTGCCTCCCGGTTAAGGTTTTATTCAGTATCCAAGGGTTAGAATAAAGGGATGGTATGAATTTGTCTATTATATACAACTTACAAAGAAGGATTGAGTAGCTGATATGTTTAACACTATCTACTCTACCTTTATAGTGGCACAAAGCTATCATTTTAAAACGTTCCGTGAACTACACAACTACACGCTAGCTGAACTTGACATTTGGATTTTTTCGCAAGCTTAAAAGCCGTGTTCTCGATTCCGATTTTTCCATCCCTATACTTTACTTTTATCTTGTAAACTACACACATACATAATGCAATCTTGTAAACAAACATTTACGGGTAAAAAAAGTAGGCGTTAATAACCATCATCAGTGTCAATTTTGACTTTAAAAAAATCCAAATAACGAGTCCCAACAATCATAAAACCTTTGTTCAAATGGTTTTGGAGATACTTAACGTCACGTATTACTGTTATTAGAATACCTCAGAGCTTACTTTACCAGAAAACACGAGTATTACCACACTTGTTGCTACAATACAGCCTCAGAAAAACTACGTTTCGAAATACTCTGGATCAGCTAATCGATTGACATTGTCCTCAGAATGTGATATGACTGACTGACTGACAATCAATTAAGAACTGTGTGTCTATCGGTATAAATCTGTAGACAAAAAAAACGGGATCCAGTATTACAAATATCTCCGTACTAGCCGTTCATTTACATTTTTGCTAACTTTCTTTGAATGATATGACTTTCCGTACATGGTAGTGGGGTTCGTAACAACATCAAACAGATACACCGGAGTAGCGTAAATCATAATATCTTCTAAACAAGGCTTGATTTATGATACTACGTAGTGTATACAATCAGAGTAGTATATGGAAAGCATACATATGCCGACTAACATTATACGATGTGCACATATACAAAACAAAACATGTCACAGAAACTTCAATGTTTCAGAGTTTCGTTCCTTGAATTAAGTCTTATAGGTCTACTTTCACAAAAATTAATAATAATGGACGATGAGAATAGTTAGTCAGCTGGAGAAACTTGCCATTGGTAATATAACGTTTTCACAGCAATAATTTTGAAGCAAGACAAAGAGAAAAATTGAAAGGTAGGAGAAGTATCCACTCAGAAATGATTACTTTTAAGTATTTTATCATTTCAAAAATTACGCCCAGTTAATTTACCAAATAAGACAATCCCAGCATAGAACTTAACGAAGCCGCCGTAGACTTAGAGTCATATAATAGTCTTGACTGATAAGACTCAGGAAATAATACAATTAACTCATTCACCGGTTAATTGTGTATGAACAATAGTCAAGGTATGAGGGCTAGTGATACTACCCGGTTACCTAAAAAGAAGTAGGTTAGAGAAGGATTTGAACCTAGAACTTAGTGATTGAAATTCGATAGTCCGAGAGAAAATCAAAGATCAGAAGTAATAAAATTTTTTATATAGTTGAGATCATGAGTCAATTGAAGCCAGACCACCAGGGAAAACTTGGAAGCACTGGAAGACCGTTTCGTCCTATTGTGGGACTCCTCAGCAGTGCGCATCCACGATCCCGCCTTCGCGAGATTCGAACCTATGACCTACCGGTCTCGCTCAATTTCGTGGATTGGTTGAGGTTAGACATCAACACCGTTGGACACCGGCTCAGTGGTCTGTCGGTTAAGTGCTCTTGCGCGAGACTCCTAGGTCCTCGGTTCGAATCTTGCGAAGGCGGGATCGTGAATGAGCACTGCTGAAGAGTCCCACAATAGGAATAAATGGCCGTCCAGTGCTTCCAGGTTTTCCTTGGTGGTCTAGCTTCAATTGACTCATGATCTCAACTATGAAAATACTCAAATCTCCACAAAACCCCCTTCTAGTAATAAAATTCTCTTTTTATACAAATATATGCATAACCTTAGAAATAATTGAGCTATGTTAAGTGCCAGATTAGTACTAAAATATGAAGTTGGAAATTAAAGGAACATTAACTTGTGTTAGCGGGAAATAAACCGAATTAAGGCATGTTATGTGAATGATCGTGACGGCGCATGCTGATTGGCTAATTCTAAACCAATCAGCTCTGGCAAATTATTGGAGAAAACATCTAGAAGCTTCTTTATGCATATACTATAAATATATGAACGTTTTTCTAACCATTGATTGCTGTTCACCTACCCTTGTTATTTTGAATACAATTCCGTTCCTGTTCAACGTGTTCTGATTTTGGGGTCTTGTCAAGTGTCATTATATAAGAATACTAAACAATAGGAGTAGCTGGGTCGTTTATATAGCAAAATACAATTATAACAACTTGAAAAACCCCGAATATATTTTACTTGCTTGGACATCATACATATAGTTTATTAATTAACATAAAAAGCTGTACTTGACTATAAAAGTTACACATTTTCATATAGATACTATCATCAAAAGCGATACATTTTTCAACTAACTAAATACAGAAAACTTAATTATTATTCACAAATATCTATCTTAACAATCATAATAAATCAATTGCATATTCATTAATTAGATGAAAGTTAAATGCCTAACAAAACAAAGCAAAATTAATGAAAATCTAAGGAGTCAAATAATAATGATCATTATAGTTGCTATGATAAATGGTACCATTAGAACTTAACCTGACAACCATATAGTGAAATTAAAATTAAAAATTAATATATAAAAACAAAGCGATGTAAGAAATGAGTAGAGGTATAATGTATATATTGGCGATTGAGGTGTTTCGTGTTTCGTCCACACGACATCACTTAAAAAAAATCATCTATCGATATAAAACTAAGGAAAAACAAAAACATGTATAAAGTATAAAATAAATGAGAGTTAGTAATGGGAAAAGAATAAATGCACTTGTATTGATGGATCTGTTGAGTCCATCAATATAGAAAAGAAGAAGAAAAAATGATCAGCAAAGAATCAATGATAAATATATGTTTTAAATAATATATGAAATGATAAAGAGTAAGAGAGAAACATTTACATAAACAAATAATATATTCTAATTTCCTGTGTTTATAATAATACCACTTGTATCAGTGGAGACAATTTGTTCTGGTGTTTTATGATCACTACCAACAGGCATTTCATGAGTGTTAGATCTGTTTGACTGTTGTTGTTGTTGTTGTTCATTATCTTCATCATCTTGTTCTGCTCCATCACCCTCTTCCTCTTCTTCTTCATCGTCGTCGTCATCATCATCATCATCGACATCATCTTCATCTCCATCATCATCGTCTCCATCACCTCGTCCTACTTCATCACTTGAAATTTGACTTGCCTCACCCAACTCCTTATGATGTGACTGATTGTGTAAGCATGATAGTATCTCGTTTGATTTCGTCTGATCACTAACTCGAGCACGTTTGGTCGCTACATACAATCCAGCTTTGTATTTTTCCATATCCTATTTTTAAAGAAAAATACAAATACAGAAGAGTATAGTAGATAAAATATTTAAAAAGGTTTCAAATATAAATGTAATTCTTTTTAGACGTTACACTAAGGAATACAAAAATGTTATTGATACCATCCATATAGAAGAGGATGAAATGATGACAGGTTTTGATGTATCTTCCTTATTTACCAATGTACCTGCACCTAACTCAGATCTGGATTTACTATGCCCGTTAGATCCATCCAAAGTTGTTAAGTGCTTGGAGTTGTGTTTACGATCCACCTCATTTACATTCCCAGATAATTACAGACAGAAAACTGTGGCAATGGGTTCACCAGTCCCTCCGATTGTAGCGAATTTATTCATTCATTCCTTAGAAATCAGTGCAATCACAAGATGTGTAAATCCGCAAAAAGTTTGGTTACAGTATGTAGATGACATTATTATCATTAAACGAAATGGTCTAGAAGAATTGTTTGAAAATGTAAACAGCATTTCGGAGAGCATTAAGCTAACAAAGGAAACAGAATCCAGTGACCACAAACTAGCGTTTCTTGATTATTTGGTTGAGCGAAGACATAGTAACAATAAGTTGAAAATGAATGTATTCAGGAAATCAACACATTCTGAGAGATACTTAGATTATGGTGTGGCTCATGCGCTTTGTACAAAAGTCACGGTTGTAAAAAATTTAATTAACAGAAGTACGAATTTCGTTACAGATAAGAAAGATCAACAGGTTGAATTGAATAGAGTCTTTTCTACACTTAGGGATAACAACTACTCGAAAGATTTTCTAAGGATTATTAGAAATAAAAGAAAAACTAGACTAGAATGTATACCGAAAGATTGGAAGTCCACTGTAGTCATTCCATACCGTAGTGAAATATTGAAAGAAATCAAGAGGATTCTTAGCAAGCATGATATAAGGGTGTATTTTCGGGCTTGTGACACCATAAGATCAGCACTAGTGAAAATTAAGGATAGGTTAACAAAGGAAGAACAACAAAAGATTGTCTATGAGATCAACTGTAATGATTGTAATGCAGCTTATGTGGGAGAAACATCCAAACAATTGAATGTAAGCTTGAAGAAACACAAACAATGTTTTGAAAATGTTCCTAAATCCTCGGATGACCCAAAGAAACTTGAAAATAAGTCTGCGATAGCGTTACATACGTTGGAAACAGGACACAAGATTGATTTCGGAGGGACCAAAATACTTCAGAAAAGTTTTAACACTCATAAAGAAAGATTGACTGCAGAAGCGCTGTATATATGGACGAACAAGAACAGCCTGAACCAAAAGGGTGGTATTCAACAAGCGACTACTTGGCAAATATTCGTTAACAAGTAATTGGATCCTTTCTTTCTTTATTCAACCTGTTTATTTCACATGCGTCGTTATTTTAACTGAAATTAATCTGTGATATTTTAGCAATACAATTATGTATTTGATGATTTTCATTTTACATGCACATCGATGATTCAGAAACAGTTTCAACCTTCAATAAATTAACACCTAATATCAACCATTAATAACTAAATCTTGACCCATATATAACTGACTCATGCTATCCTATTTACTAAAGTCAACATCTAAATAGGATTGGATTAGCACAGTATAGGTTTGATTTGATTGCTAAACACTATATATTTCCTCGATAATTTTGATTTTGATTATTACCTTGAAGAAGTCCAGATAAGTTTGCTGGACGAAACGTTGAAATTATTTAAATTTCAATCGCTGAGATTATTTCAAATATACTCGGCGCCCAAATTTTGTCAAGCTATTCGTTCTAATATTGACGAATATTCGTATAAGTTAAGCAAATAGTTTAATTTCATGATTGCATAACTTTTTAGTCCTATTCCCTGAGTATATATATACATAAAGGTAAGTTGAAAAATGGATAAGAGTAAGGAAACCAAAATATGCTATCATTTCATAGGGTCACTGATTGTTGATCTGAGTCCTGTGCGGAGACATAAACTTTCAGGTTGAAATTTACGAGATTATCGCATTTTGTGATTGCAGTTCTTTGTTGATATAGTTAAGAAGATAAATCACAGTAACAGAGGTGCACTCACTGTTTATTTTCATAAAGTTTTAACCCTATTATTTCTTCATAGTTTTTAGTACGGGTTCCTATTAGACTTTTTAGCGATAGTTTCGATGTTCAGTTATCATGTTTAGTCTTCTGTCTTCAACTTATTGTTGATTTCACTAACTCAAGCCCCTGTGAAGTGCAGTCTTGGACCTTCACATATTTCTGCTAGTTTCAAGGTATTTGTATCTGTTTATTTGTTTATATGTCCTGTTATTCAACTTTTGGGAAATATTATCATCATAGATTTATGTACTAAGCTTCAAGCTACATTAATTTTATGATGGTTAAGTACAATACTCGGTTCAAAAAGTAGAAGTTAAACATCTGAGCTACTAAGTCTTAGTTTTACAATAGTATTTATTCATGATAATCTCCAGGATATAAACGGCTTTCCAAATACTCTACTGTTGTTAATGAATATTAGATCTATATTTATTGGTAATGGGGACACACTAGATTGATGTACATATGCAGCATCACGTTCTATGCTGCTTATGGCTGGCTGACTCCCGAATGTTTATCATTACAGTGATTTAAATAAATTCATAAACTTTTGAAAAAATGGATGAATAGGTAACCTGAAGCACCACTTTTGTAACTTACTTGTTCATAACGCAATTTATCATTCTGTGCGCGTCTTTCGTATTTCTCTTTATCGGAACACTCTTCCCATCGTCTACCTAACTCCTTGGCGATATCACTAACCTTCCAATCGGGGTGCTCACTACGAATCTTTGATCGAAATGCATCGCAAAAGAAGAAAAATGCAGACCATGAACGTTTAGGCATACTTGGATCTTTGATACGTCGCCGTCTACGACCTCGCTTCATTCCAACTGGTGGTATATAATGAGCCATTTCCCGATTGAATCTCTCCGTATCTAATTTTGCCATTTCCTCGAAACACTTTCGTTGTTCCATATTCATGAGCTGCACAATAAGAGAGAATTAATCATGAGACAATAAAAATGCTTTTTAATTTTTCATACCTTCCACTTTTCTGCGCACTTCTTAGAAAATTCACTGAAAATAACATTCTCTGTTGGATGTTTTTTTCGATGCTCCTCACGTATTACTTGCACGAAACATGCATATGGTGTCATCGGTGGTTTAGGACGATTCTTATCTTTAACCATCATTCCTTCTGATGTAGAGTGAACCTTTAGATTCTATGATTAAAAAATGCATGGTATTGTGATTATTCAAAAAACCACCATTTAACAAGATAAATTTTAGTTTGAAAATAACTGCTCAGGATACTTCGCAAAATTAAATATAACAGATGAAGGATAAGTATGAACCCAAGAGAGAATGAACTTGTTGAAGTGTTTTTTAAATGCTACCATATCATGCAACCGAGAATTCAGTGGCTTCGATCGATAACATAAACTAAAAGCTAAAACTACAATCATTCTACTCCATATTTTATCTACAAGTTGACATGCGGCTATGAAGATTTGTATGATGATTAAACTAATAAAAGTTTTAAGCTTCAGTTGATTGTAGTAAAACAACTTGACAGATGAAGGGACGATTAAAACTTATTCATTTGACAATTTATCAAAATCTGATTCTTAATTTAAAAAATTTATTTTTTATTCTATTTAAACACATAAATATTGGTACAAAGGGTAACCAGATATATATGCGCCGCACAAATCTCATTTGATTCGTGTGAGGGCTGTGAAACTGACCAGGTGCCCAAACCAAAACAGATGATTTCCTTAGGGGGCAACACCCCCAGCCTTTAACCTAAAGATCTGATCCACAAGGCAGTGGACCATCGTGAGGAGATGCAGTACCATGGTAGACGGTGATCAACGGTTGATTCATACACCATTGGTTCCCTCAGGATACTGGAGCCAGCGCATGTACACCACTGGTTTGGAATCAGGGTTTTCCAACTCCCCTAGGTGGACTTTCCGTGTCCATCAACCCGGTTAAAGCGCCGGGCATTCGCTTTTTGTCCTCTCCATTTCGTAAACAACACAACAATTAAAAAAATAAACAGCAAAACTTGCAAATCCTAGATGAACTAAACAAAGTTTTGAATTTTAAGAAATCTACACTGAGGTTTACTTATGTGAAATCACTGGTTAATAAAGATTACAATACGTTTTATAATTGATTTTGTTAAATAATCAAGAGCGTGACATTTAAATGACTAAATTTACTTGAGAACACAAACGAAAACAAGATACACAATTCACAAGATTAGCCATTTCATATGGATAACACGTCTTCATTCAACAGTTGACTAGAGATATTCAGGATATCAATTAGAAGATAAAATAAAACACTTCTAGTCATTACAAATAACTTTGCCCCACTTAATAACATGCCCCCAAATGCCCTGGTACAGCCGAGAGTGGGGAAAGTCCGCCCTACCTCTTGAAATGTTCTCATATAGCCACGCGTATATAGCTTCTACCACGGAAGTCCTACTAACTGCCTTCTCGTGGCACCAGTGTTGTTTACGAAATTGAGAGGACGAAAAGCGAATATCCGGCGCTTTACCCGGGGTGGTGGACACGGAAAGTCCACCTAGGGGAGTTGGAAAACCCTGATTCCAAACCAATTGTGCACATGAGCTGGCTCCAGTATGCTGAGGGAACAAATGTCGTATGGATCAATCGTTGGTCACCGGCTATCATGGTACTGCATCTCCTCACGATGCTCCACTGCCTTGTGGATCAGATCTTTAGGTCAAAGGCTCGGGATGTGGCCCCAAAAAAACCACCTGCTTCAGTTTGGGCACCTGGTCAGTATCACAGCCCTCACACAAATCAAATGAGATTTGTGAGGCGCATATATATCTGGTTACCCTTTGTACCAATATTTACGTGTTTAAATAAATAATAAATTAATGACATGTTTCTTGAACGGGATTTAATGGGACGAAAAAGAATGGTTTCAGCACAATAGTCTAAAATCTTTATGGTGACCTTTAGACCCAGGATGAACACTAATAACTTCTTAGGCCGAAGGTTTATGAAGCAAAGTAGATTCCCCATATAGATATTTATTATCATTGGCACTAATGTACACATAGAAGTGTTTGGCTTAACGACACAGAAATATTCCACACCAAACGAAATGACAGCAATATGAAGCAGTAGGAGAGGAGACGGTACGATAAAAAGTAGAACTTATTGAAAAATATGGTTTAATTATGAGTGAGGCTACAATTTGTCTGATAGATTCAGAAAGTGCATTTTGTAGTTGATGGATCAAAGCAGATTATAGCAAAAATAGGAACTAGTTTTGACTCTGAGTTGTTTTAAGGCACTAAGATGCATGTTCGCTTGGACCTAGCTTACATAGTTATAGTGCACGAACGAGTATTACAAGACATACTTATCATACTTTATATGACGGTCATAAGCCTCTGCTTTGTCCACGTTTATTATTATTATTATTATTATTATTATTATTATTATTATTATTATTGTGACTCCACTTCATATTACATGTTTAGTATGATATGGAATCCTCAGCACAAAGTATTTCAAAATGTTTCTTTTATAAAACAGAAAACGATAACTGTATATATGCATGCATAAATTAAGTAAATAAACTGCCTGGAATTAAATGAAATGTTTTTGAGAAGATTAGGATCTGCACAACTTTTAATTAGAAACATGTTTAATAATATACGTTACTGACTAGATTATCTCTTACAAACTGTTCATCACATAGTACATTTGCCAGATAAGGTATTGTAGAGCTTTTATACCTTTGCTTACGTGCATGAATTTTAAAGTATTGGAGCCCCGTTCTATCGCAAGATATATAAGGAGAGAAATAGAAATGAAGTGGATGGTTAGTACCTGATAACATCTGTTAGAAGTTTGCAAGATTTTAGATGTCTATCAACAACCAAATTAATAATTACCTTAAAAGATTCACCATACACCCTGCTAACTGCCCTCAGCACTCTCCGCAATACAGCAAAATCTCTTCTCAAAAGCTCAGGAAAGAATGAGGAGAACAGTAAACAAATAATAGACAACATGTAAGAATTTAAAAGTCGTAAATGTCGAGTAATCCCAAAAGCGTGTACCATATTTCTACATAAGTCAGACGGAAAACTTTCTTCGACTACAACAAAGTATGAGAACACCAAGAGAGATCAGAGGAGAAACATACATCAAGACAAATGACCTTTGACACTTTTTATTACAGAATCTTCAGTACAACAAACTTCATGTGATTTCAACAAGGTGTTTGAGTGCTGTTCATGTCCCAGACTAAAATTAACAGTTGGACGGTTAGAAGGATTAAATGTGAGACTATTGATAGCAGACTATCGTACAATGGGAGACAAGAACTCATTCGTTTCAAGAGGATGTGGAGGTAAAAATCTATGTCCATACAGTGCGATCATCAACATACTTAGCAAGAGTGATTTCTGTAGGTGACATATCACACAAAAAAATGAGGGGAAAGGGGAAGGGACAGCTTCTTGTTACCCGATTAACTCGGTAGAGACTGAACACTTTCCTCCAAGCACGGCGTGAGTTTTCTTCAAGAGAGGTAAGAGTGAAACCAGTTGGTTATCCAGTTGTCGGTATAGACGCTAGCAAACTTGTTTATTAGTAGTGGTCTTAGGATAGAGTCATAGGCAGCAGCATAATTTAGAAATGAGCATCGAACATAGTTCTTATTCTTTTCCGAGCCGAACACTACGTTATGACGCAGGACAACAGAAGCATATAAGATATTTCTTTTTCATTTGTGAGTAGACTGATATAGATTAACATTCTCTTTTAATTCAGACTGAAGTGCGAGTACCGATAGCTTTCCTGTTGTTTTGAGAAGAGGTGAAGTTATTGCTATGGGTCTAAACTTAGTACTCCATCTTTCAAACAAGTGGACGGTATAAAAACCCATGGCAAAAACATGATTTATAAGTGTACTAGCCACAAACCCTAGTGCCCTGAAATAGCACCGTTTATAGGACTTTAGAGCAAATTGAAACCAAACATGCTGCGAATGTTATCATGAAATACGCAGTGTTCATAACGAATGAGGGCAATTCTTCGGAGGTAACGATCATAAAACACAGTCATCACATATGCCCAGCTAAGAATAGGTTTCACAAATAAACGACAGTAACCCAACTAAAATCTAGGTAAACTACGTACTAGCGATATATGAGAGAAATAAGGTAATTTAAAGATCAAGGGAGTGCTATTTGTTAATTTCAAAGACAGCATAACAAATTAATCACGAAACAAAGGTTCTCTATGAAAAGAGCCACGTTAGACGACCACCAAACTTATGCAAAAGGGATGCATAAGCAAACTTAACAAGGACTGATTAACTTTTTATAGTTTTAGAATGCATTTGAGACAAGTAGTACCGCTAGTTACGCACTGACTTATAGTCATCCCGGTAACCAGAATATCTAAGCAGAGTGAAGTAAGTGGGTTTGTTTAGGGCTTTCGAAGGCCCTACAGTGAATTGTACTATCATAATAAAGTAAGCTTCACCATTTGCTTACAATATTGTAGGCAGTATATGCAGGAGATTTGCATGCTCAGAAATCAAGAAAATACTACTACGTAAGAGAGAGAGAAGGATTATAGAAGTAAATGAAACGGTCGTTAAAAATATGAGGTGAAGTTATCAGTAACTACACCTTCATACAGACAAATGTATGCCGGAATTGTTTCGCGAGGCTAAGTGGTCTGAAGCGATATAGACGAATTTCGACGCTAAACTCGATTTTAGAAACACAAACCCTTAGCAGCTTTAACAAATGCACTACATTTGTAAAAACCATACATACATTCTAATCCCACTTGTTTTCTATTGTAAGCAATTCAGCCATAATACCTGCCTCCTGATTGGCTGTTGAGCAAAAATGTCCCAAGGTCATTTTGACGTTGTAAGTTGAGCTTCTTGTTACTTATAACATTCTCGATGTCTAATATGTGTTTCATGTAGACCAATCTCAGTCATTTTCCGCCCATTCAGTCAGTGATTGTTGGATATAAGAGCAAGATTTTCATACGGGTTTTCTGTAAGTCATGAGTTTTCTGTTCTACGTTGAAGCGTTTATGGATGACAGCTGCGATCTCCATACGCTTTGAATGAAATCTTAGATGAACACTATTTTCTGATATCCAGTAATCGCCCACTAAGTAAAGGTGAAAATACCTCGACATCTCATCAAAGAAGCACACTGAAGATGTCTCATATAAGTCGTACATCCATGTGTTTTAGTTTCTGGAAGTAAATTAGTCACTAAAACTTATAGTATTCGGAGTTTGATAACACTTTAATCAGTAACACCCTTTATAATTGGCACGTTCCAACCCAGTTAAGTCCGCAGTCAAAAGTCAAGAAGTTCAAAGATATATTTGATAGAATATCGATGATTAGTTTAACGAGACACATCCCTATCTGAATGTGTCCGGTGGGTCATGCCCACCGGTTCATGTCTGTGATCGCCGCGCCTGACATCTCTTGTAATAATTATATATATACTGCACAATAGCGTTGTCAAACACTGTATGTCCATTATAGCATCGAATACTATGTCGCGCCTTTGTGTTTTATGCTGAGACCGATCGACTAATTTGACTTCGTTAATTCCTCTCTGATGAGTGCTTTTGAATAATCGTCACAGTGTTCACCGGTAACTATTCATCACAGCTTAGCCTTGTAGCGGCAGATAAATCTCCAAAATAAATAGTTCTGTATGTCTTGGGTATTATTGTTGACCCCACTAGTTTTACTGGAAACATCCAGGTGAAGATGCGTGGTAACGACTCCTCACCAGATCACGAGTGGGTACAATGTCCCACACACCCCTTGCAACTGTTAGGCATATTAGACCAAACGGTTCTCAACATATCAATAGCCTCCCAAATATACCTCCCAACTCCTACATTTCAAACGTCTGACTTGATTGGGTCAGTATATTTCGATTGAAAAGATGTTACGTGTAAAGGTGCCGTCAAACTCCGAATATTGGTAGCATTCTTAGTGGTGAGACCTACGTAATTTTGAACATCAATTTGTAAACCGAGTCTGCTCCTTGTTCAAACATTAGATAAATTATTTTTATTTTTACATATGGTGACATTGTTCTTATATTTTTGGATTTTCTATCACCAATTGGTACATGTTATCTTCATCACGACGGAACAGACATCTGGGCTATTTAAGATTAGGTCAGTTGGAGAGTGAGGTTAACCTCTCAAACACAAAATGCTTTCCAACATTTAACATAAAATAATTGGAAGTGCAATGCCTATACAAAATAAGGTAGTGAATGAACAATTGGTCTACGATATTTTGACATTTACTTGAATGTTTGCAGCCAACTTCTAACAAATGAACCTTGGTTGTTATAGTTATTTGTTGGAGCAACAAAATAAAAATCGATCAAAGCCTATTGTTCAAAGACTTTCATCTGTTTGAAATGGCAAAGATATGGTTTTATGAGATGCCCCGGCATCAAGATTAAATTGTCTGTG